GAGCAGCTTGGATTGCATCAAGTTCTACATTGACATTTCTTGATCCACATCTCCTGAGGAGATAGTATCCCTTACACTTAAAGCATTTATTTTCCTCGGCCCGTTTCTCTACTAATGGATCTCAGGTCACCAATGTTTTCCAACACACTGCATCTCCTCGCAACAAATGCACAGCACTACTGAAAACACGATCCCATTCAATATGCTCCCACACACATAATAACACACACATCATAAAAAAACAAAACTTACATCTGTATTGCAATGCAGAAAAGTTCAAATGTGCCTGCTAAATGTTTAGATCCCATTAGGGACAACGAACTAAGTATCAAATTAAAGACTGAGGTGGTGTGCAGATATTTAAATCAGCAGATAAAAATCTAAAAGGTTTTTTTTTTTATTCACAAAGCACAATGTCACTCGTTATGGCAATATATATGCTCACAAAAATTACCAGCCTTGCAGGAGTGTATAATAACTTAATACACAAATGACACAAGCTGCTTATAATTGGATTCAAAACAATGACAATTCGACCCAAATTACTCCATACTTTCACACATCATAGCAGATTTTTCTCTGCACCCAGGCTCCTCTTTACTTCAACGTGCCAAAGACATAGTCCGTAAAAGATTCCCATTACCTGTGCCTGTCCTCCAAACACCACACGGCCTCACCCAAGTGGAATGAAATCCCTGCAAATCCGTTTATTTAAAGAGGCTCATCAATACCCCACACAGCCTCTGCCTCTTTTCTGTCTCTCTCTCTCATCGTAACCACTTATTTGGTTGTAATCCAGCCACAGAGAAATGGCCTAGACCGATTTGATTATCCTCATCATCATGCTGGTAAACAACAGGTGAAACGTTGGGAAAACCAAATGAGAGATGTGCAAAACATACTTATCTTGCACTCCCAGAACTTCACACCAAGCTGCAATTGCACCACATTTTATTTATAAACCTTCCACATTTCAGCAGAACTATGATATATTTCATCACCAAAATTGGATCATAGTGTATTTTGTCAAACTGTTAAATAGAGCAGCATATATATCATTTTTCGGAAATTGATTACTTTATTGGTTATTTTCACTGATTCAATTTTATTAAAAATTACTTTATTGGTTATTTTCACTGATTTAATTTTATTAAAAGATTATTTGAATGAAAAAAAAACATCTAGTAGAAGAAAAATTAATTTAAAAAAAAGTAATCTAGCCATCTTTGTGACGTTTTGATAAAAACAAAAACACTGAATTTCTTCCTGGAGAAAGTAAAAACGGCCTACTTTAGTAATACTAAAGAAAAAACACCACTTTAAACAGTTTGTTTTCATGCTGTCACTTGTTTTTAAGTTTACCTTCAAAATGCTCCCCCAACCATCACAGTACCACAGAGACTAATTGTCTGTTTTTTCCATCAAGCAGCCGAAGTCTCCATTTCAACTGTGAGCCCATTTCCTGCAATTCCGAACTCAGGGGGTTGTGAAAGCTTGTGTCAAAACCTCAGTGTCCGGGGTCTTTATGGGACCGGACAGCTAAAGTGTTGAGAGGCACAGACCCCGAGGACCTTTCCTGGGCCGTGTGCTTTGCTTTTTTTTTTTCATTTTTAGCTTTTGCTTTTTCTTCTTTTGTGACATGCCTGCCAGAGAAAGGGCCCCTGCGAATCAACCTGTCTCCCTCCTAACAGCCTCTGAAAAAAAAGTGGGTTTGATTTGACCTAAAGAAACATGAATACAGAACACAGCAGTTCACTCCCTTACCCCAGCTGACGTACATGTTTTAATAGTTTTATTGGTAAAAGAACAAAGTGGATAAAATGTATTTTGTATAATCTGGATGAATCACTCTTCCACTCCTTCCTGTCTGTGGAGGTCACTCTGTGTAATTATCAAAAATCAGCAGAGAGGAATCAGCCCACAGAGAAAAGCCTCATAAATCCACTTCTCAGCAGACATTTCTCTGACGCCTGCATTGTGTCAGCATTAAGCCGTCAGCATAAACAATCATTAAACTGAAAAAAATACATTTCAAAATACATCATTCTGACAGCCCATGTCAGAGCTCCACTCCTACTGAAGAATTCCTTTTAAATCACTTGATGAAGATCTTCAGCACATCTGCCAATAAGATTTCAAAAAGATTCCAATCAAGTGAAAACTGCCAGAGGATGTAACATAAATGTATCATTTTATTTTCATTCATTTAAATTAAGTCATAGCAACTATTACACACTGCGAGTCGATCACATGAAAGGATGCTGTTTTCCTTTTCCGTACTGTGTATGGTTTATATGACACACACGTTTGGATTCTTTGCAGGACTTTTGTTTTGTTTTTCGTTAAAATATGACCATGTTTGTGGTACATTTTTTCACTGCTATAGACTGACAATCAAAACCTATCAAAAGATGAGTTATATCCTAAATTTAGGGTCAACTCTTGACAAAATAACTAATTTCTATTCTATAGAAAACAACAGCCACAGGACTCATTAATTAAAAAAAGACATCAAAATCTAACGTTTAAGCCATGAAAAACTCTTCCATTCAACTCACTCCTGCTTCACATTTCTCCTGACTTTTATGAATAAAACACTGATGAATAATTCCCTTCATTAGCAGCCAGGGAATGACAACAGGAAGCACAACCGATCCCCAGCCTTGAGAGGAAAAGAGTGGGAGACGGGGAGAGGGAGAAAGAACGACGAGAGTTCACTTGCAATATAATGTGTATCTAAATTCTGAGACGAAGTGACCTTGAGCATAAAATGTGTTGTACAGTGGCATATCAAATAGCTATATAAAAGGCAGTTAGATAAAGACATAAAATAGGATTTATTCACTCAGTCTTCCTGCTGCACTGCTATCTCAGACCAGGGTCAAGAAGACGGCATAGAAGAGGAGCGGTGTTGCATTTGCAGCACGAGGACGGTGTGGATGTGACTAATGTACAGCATAGAGAAGAAAATGATGACAGAAAAAATAGCTCTGAAGAGTAAAATGTACACAGTAGAACCTGCGTGTGTGTGTGTATGTGACAGAGAGAGAGCGAGAGAGAGAAAGAAACTAGGTTATTTTTAATAGGCTGCTGGATTTTGAATGGTGATTATCCTCACTGAAATGCCAGTAAAAGACCTAATTGTAATATTAAAGTTCACAAAGTTGTATGCCATCAAAAATAGAACTTCCATCCACGCAGTGCCATTCAGTTACTTTTCCACCCGACTTGCAACTGCGTCTAAATAAAATCAGGAATCAATCAATTCTAATAAAATTACTAGAAATCCTACGTCAGGTAAGCGAAACAGGGAAAGATTACGCTTCATTTTATTTCATCTAAAATCTCCCTATGGCCTGTATGATATACAAGAATAATCAAACACTGGATTTACAGAATGAACTCCCACAGCTGATAGCGATTTTTTTAGTTTTTATTTACTGGAATTAAAGGTTGTGCCGTACCAGTCTCTAACTGGTATTTGCATTCGCCTCTCTTCCATCACTGTGCAGAACTATCATTTGTGTTCTGCACACTGTCTCTTAACAAAGGCTGTGGAACAATTACATTCATGCTGCTCATCAGGCAGGACACGGGCAGATGCCGAGTTCAACTGTCAGGATAAATAAACGTGACCCGGTTAACATTCGGCAAGAAGCTGAATTTAAGTGACTCCAAATGGATGAGACAAGAAAACAAAGTGCAGGTTGACATAACCATTTAGTCAGAAAGCATCAAATGTCCCCTCCCGATTCCCCCAGGAGAAGGAAGTCAAGGTTTCTTCGGGTGATATAGGAAACCCAGTGTTCTTTGTGTGTGTGTGTGTGTGTGTGTGTGTGATTTGCTTGAGGGCATTTGCACTGGTGCAAATTATGTGACAGATGGCACTGCAGTCCTGGACATAATGAACACAGTCTAATTGTCAGTTGAGGATACAACAAACAGGAAATGTTGATGATATCCTGAAATGTGTCCCAAAATGAGTCTCGCTGCAGGAAGATGACACAGACAAAGACAGACAATGAGACAAAGCCCACAGGGGGGAAAAAACTGACGTCCACACTTGGCCGGTTTCACTTCAGATGAAGCCACGTTTAAAGAGGATAACAGGAGAATGGGGACGTTATTGTGCAGTGACGGCAGAACTTCAGATCCCACTCAGTGAAATAGGTTTTGCTACCTTTCCCACTCGCAGTTGGACGTTGAAAGACATGTGCCGTATCCTCACATCAAAGCATTTCAGTTCAGTGGTCCCTCATCTCTCAGAAAGTGTCTGCCTCAGAACAGGTGACCATTTATCATTTCTACAGTAAGAATGTCTGTCTGAGGATTTTATTTTTCTTTATGCAGACAGATGTGCACTTTTAAATATGCAAACTAGCCAATTAGGCTCAGGGATATCCGGAAAACATATTTTAAATCCTACACCAGTATTTCTATCTTTTACACAAAGCCAAAGCCATCATGAAAAATGTATAAGCTCACATCACTGCATCCTACCGCTGTAGTCCACTTTGAACAAACTGCACCAGAAAAAGGCCCTGCATTGGTTCATTTTTATTTATTTTCCAGCAATCTTAAAACACATCTTTCTGCCTGCTAAGGAGAAATAAGTGACACGTTTTTAAAGTCAATTTCGATACTGGGGAAACCAAAAAGATGAATCGTGGTTTCAAAATTCTGCATGCAACAAATAAATAAGTTCTCTCTACAGAGACACTGGGTCCAAACTGAATCGCCATGAGAAAGAATCGGACCTTTTGCTTCTCAGAAACACAGCTTGTATTGATAATGACAGGGAAACTGGGGCTATAACATAGAATTTCAATGTGCTGCGCGTCAACGACTACAACTGAACGCACCGACAGCCAGGTTAAAGTAATTAAGAGAGCAGGACATGCCGACAGTGGGATTACCGCTGCTGCAGGGCTCTATCCAAGCTGGGTTTGTGCACAAACAAATGGACATGTGCGCTGGGCACCGAGGAACAGGAGACTCACCGCTCGTCAAGAGATCACCGGAGACCAAAGAGATGAAGCTTTATTTCATTCAAAGTGTGTGTGGTGTCTCTCTCCCGGACTGTCTCTCGGTGGATGGACACTGTCCTTAGACGCACTGATAGCGAGGACTTGAGCAGAAACAGCGATCGATGTGGAGAAAACAAGGGGATCCAAACTGTTGGGTCTTGTGTGGCTACGTTCAATATCCGTGTTGAAGGGGGGAGAATTTAAAAAAAATCGAACACACACTGGGGTTCAATGCGCTGTGCGTCCACGATCCAAGCCACCCGTGACGTCGCAGCGGGGAAACGGCAGCAGAAGCAGGTTCCTCGTGTTTGTATCCACGGCGCTGTCTCTTTACATCCCTTTATGGCACAAGGCGTCCTTCTGTGCGGGAGGTTACATCACGTCCCGCGCAGCTGCAAGCGCACGCACGCAATCATATATTTTTTTTTAAAAAAAAAGAGTATCCAGAAGAATTTAACGCGCTGGTAAATGTCTTGAGAAGAGCTCCAACACAGGGAGAAGGTCGGGAGTTGGAGACTGACTGAGCGGTGCGCGACAATGACAAACCAATCGTGCGCACTGGCTGGGAGCAATTCAGTGTGGAGACCGAGGGGCTTGGAGAGCCAGTGAAAGGTGAGAGGAAAAACTCGGATGTGGATTCGCCTTCTCTCCCCGTATACTCGGGCTCCACCTAGCAGCAAACACTGGATAACATGCAACAAAACCTCTCTTAGCCTCCCTCTACCTGCAATATATCTTGCCTTGGGCTGGCAAAGGAGAGACCTATGTTATTTTACATTCTGTCTGTGCGCCCGTAGCTGCAATATTTATGTGGAATCCAGTGCCTCTATCTCCTTTAAAAGATTCACTGTTTCTTAAAAATGTGGCTGTTGTAAGAACTGTCCATCAACAATTCAATCACAAATTATGCAGCCTGGAGATCCAGGCACAGGAGGACTCTGTGTTAGGTGTGGCTTCAGCCAATCTTGCTTAATTAAAATGTTTGCAGATGTAAAAAAGTTAATTAATTCATAAAGTCTATTCTCTGGGGGATCCGCTGATTCTGTGAAATGTGTCAGCATGTGTGTTTTTTATTCCAGTTTATCCTCAAAGATGAGTTAATGGTCCCGTTCCTTGCTGGAAGCCAATTATTCATACAGTTCCGTTGGCCTCAGGCTGCTGTGGCTTCCTCTCAGCTCTTCACCAACATCTACCAGAACTCCACTCATTTCTTTGGCCATTTTTTCTCAACAAAAATGTTTTTAAAAAAATCGATTTTATCTCTTATCCTGGTCATTGACCTTTGAACACTGCAGCAGCTGCAGCACAAGTCAAATCTACACCTATCCTCTCCATCATCCTACACCTAATTAATCACCCTAATCATCCTAATTACAATCAAACAATAACAAGTAATCACTCAATCCTTCTCAGTGCTCAGATAATGAGCTCATGCGAGCTCAGACCACGTGAAGAACATTTTTTGCACTTGTTTCCTGTCTCAGAAACACCTATAACCTCTGAACACTCCGGTGAAAAATAACCAGCGGTCTGAGGAGAAAAGGAAAAAAAAAGAAGTGTTATCTCTCCCTGGCACTGCTTTTCACACAGCTCCGATGCAAATGGATTTCTCCAGGTAGAGCTCGGACCAAAGCTGACGGCCATTACTCTCATATAAGCCACGTAGCTTCAAAGCAATGCTCTGAGTGCCAAACTCCTGCAAACAGACATACTGCATATATATATATATATATATATATATATATATATATGAACTACAAACATCCGAGTACCTGCGAAATATCTGGGATGTGAATACTACACAATTTTAAATTAATATTAGATCAGATTTGCACAATTTCTTTAAAAAAAAACAAGTATAGAAACAGTGAAATCCATACAGGTTTGACTGTACATTTGATTTCACTACAGCAAAAAGAAAAACCACAGCAGCAATGGCATGAAACATCAGGAAAGCTGCACAACCGAACATCAGTACTTATAATGAATTTATACAAAATTATGCTATTACAGTGACAGTGTCAGAAAAATACTTTTTTATTCCATTTGGTGTTCAGTGCCTGATGCCTGAGGAGATTTGTTTTGTCATGCTAATCAAAAACTGAGAAAGAGCTAACATTAGTGCTCATTAGTGGAGAAGACACTCATACACATAATTGGACCCAGGGCCACACGACACACACAGATGAAGTTACATGATGAAACACAGACAACGATGAGACCAAATCCCCCCTTCTTTTAAACACCAAAGAGAGTGTGTCCACACATTTACGGAATGAGTTTGCAATTATGTTGCAGAAACTTTGTGTTAATAGACAAAGACCCTACTGTATACGGGTTGTCACAGACCCTGGTCCGGTCCAGTTTGTCATTCCTAATTGGAATCAGTTGTAGTCAATATTTAAATGTTGTTTTTACATTTTACCACCAAAAGCCCTCTACACATATTTCTACTATTTAATGATGCAAATAGTGCAGAATATGGAGTATAAGAGAAATTAACCTAACTGTGTCTCTAACTTAGGCCCAGTTTGAAAACATTAAGGCAAATTTAAAATCCACCTTAAATAGTCTTTGACCTCTGTAACATCTCTGCAGCCCCTAGGGACCGTCCCCCAAATAGGGAACCACTGCTTTTAAGTACAAGAGTACAGACTAAGTTAAGTGTTTGGGCGGCAGAAGGTTGCACTGCTTTTCTAAACCTCAAAAACTAAAAGTGAAAAATGGGAAGGCATAATCCCTCATGAGTGCTTCAGTTAGCAGGTCTTTATAAACATAACGTGGTTAACTATAATGCACTCAGTCACACTGCCTGCTCTTTTATTATGCAAATGTTTTTAATATTTGTGCAACAACCTTACAGTGTTCTGTTTTTTTAATTATTTCTTTTTACTTACAAATTATTGTACTGCAATTTGTTTAAGGAGTTTGAATAACAACAGATTTATTTATTTGCCGATTTTCTTTATGCAGACTGACATTTCTGTTCCATAGTGTTAGGTGTAATTGTGTTTATAATAGAGTAATGAAACATTTCCCATTGCTGCTAGTGGATTTACTCAAAACGTAGAGTTAAGCACTTCAGACACATAATTAAACACAGTAAAGTGGTGCACAGCTCTGTAAAACCTCTGAAACACAGACACTGTTGTTGCCAAATACACAGACTCTTTGGGAATATAAGGCATTGTGGGACAGTTGAAGTAAATTATTAGTATTATTATAATAACACTCTTCTCACCTGAAGATAGCGAGGTCATAACTCCGGGTCAGAGCAGTAAGGCGTGAAGGTTAACAATGTGTTCTTTCATTAAAAATGAAAGAAATTTAATAAATAATTGTTTTTTCTTTAAATTGACATTTGCTCATTTTAAATAAATAAAAAATAAAAGTTGTGTCATCATCCAATATTGGCAGTCACAAATTTGTCTCCAAATTTGCACCACAACACCAAAATAGTGATTGGTGCTTAGTAAAAAACACTGAGACAATAATAAGTGAAATAAATAACACACAATTTGAAGAATAAAATGCTGCTATTCCCCGACAATACAACGCACAGTACAAAAGAGATTTAGGTTTATTATCATTATTTGTAGGTTGTTGTTTTTGTCCATTTGTTTTATTTTACAGGACACCAGTCCAGACTGTATTATACATATACTGTTAATTATTGCTTTCATTTTATGACATCTCTCAAACTAACTGGAACATTTGTAAAGGAAAAGAATCAGGTTGTGACCTGTTGCAAAAGATATCCCCCAGAATTCCACAAGGAAGGAATTCTCTTAAGGAGATAACGCTTGCAGAAAGGCGCCTATGAAATACAATGTATCATTTTTATTATTATTATTAAATGGAGGCTTTGTAGAGACAGATTCTTGTTATTTTCATTTTTGTTATTTCTCGTACAAATACCAAACCTGACTCATCATAAAACTGTCACTGAGTAACTTTGTATATGTTACATATTAAAGTTGATCTGCTGCGCTCACATTGTACGAGGAAATACAATTTTCCATTTAGGCTGATCTAGAAAAGGATGAATGAGAACAGAGGTTCAGTATCAGAAATACCCAAATAATGACCAATTATCCAAATGACTACCAAAAGGAAATGGCCAACAGGCTTCCTGTCTGGCTCACATCTGTGTTGGAGCATTAATCTGCCATGATCTCCTGCCTCACTGACTTGGCAGCTTCAAATCCATTGACCTGCTTCTGGTTTAGTCCTCAGTTCACTGCCAGTCCTTTCACTGTTCGGAACAAACTAAAATGTTGTTTTGTTGGTGCCTATTGTAAAGTTGCAATGCAGAAAAAAGCTGACAAGACAAGGACTTTACTCTATTGTAATGCTTGTGAGGTAAAATAAATGTGGTTTTTCAAGAGTAAAAGTAATTTACTGTAGTTTTATCCTGCAACCCTCAATACTAAACACCTCACTCAACAAGGTCACTGCTTTGCTTCCTGTTGTATTTTGTGTTTTTTCCAACATGCAGTAAAAACCTGTAAACATTAGCTGACAACATTCACTTTTGGCTAATCTCTAAACAAACCAAACTTCTCTGGACTGAATGCACACAAGCGCTTTATCGGTACAACTTTCTTCAAGTGTTCAAGAGTTCTCCTGGTTTAACTTCAGCATGTGCTGGCACCATGACTACCCGCTGTTCGTGGGCACGACCTGCTGCCTACAAAAATTACATCAGCTGCAAGAAAAAACCTCACGAAACAACACCTACAGTTCTCTCTCCCACATCAGTGCAGGCCTCAGTTTTTGGCAGTCAGTGCTACAAATTTTTCTTGAAGCAGAAACACAGGCAGTGATGCCATTTCAGTCCCACACAATAAAGGGAACCATGAACCACTGATGTTGCTGACTGTATGTATAAGCTAATACCATCCTCCAGTTCAAATGGCACAGTCAAAAAGACCTCAAATGGCTGCTCTGACATGACCGCTCTTTTTGCATGCAGACATGTGGAAGTCAACGTGCCACATCCTGGAACGACATTAAACATTCCTCCTCTAAATCTCATTGGAACGATGACGCAGACGTCTTGCAGGCAGCTTTAACAGAAATGCTTGTGTGATTCGATTTACAATCGTCTGCAATCAACCCAAGATGAATTGTGACGCAAACTCTACAGTGAAAGAAAAAAAATGAGCATATAATTCAATACAGTCAAATAAAAAGCTTTCTCCTGTGCTGGATGAGCAGGGACACGTCTGTGTTTCTGCATCCAACGTACAAAAACGGCACCATATTACAGATTCTACTCATATGGGCATCAGTTCTTTGTGTCCTTGCTTGGGTGAATGTTGGACCTGTATTTATCATCCAAGACATTCAAAACCTTAATTCAAATCTATGTAATTCCTGAAATACTGATTACATAGACGTTAAATTTATCCCATATGATTCTATTGCTGTATATGTTTCAACACTGAAACATAACACTGTCCTTCACGCTCTCACATTCATGATGATATGTGAAATCCTGTCACAGTGGCCCCCAAGTTGTGTGTAGTTTGCGTATCTCTGGGTCTTTGAGATTTGACTTAGAGCTTTGTTATGTTTAAATATATATATATTCTTGAGTGGAAGAAAGATCACTGCAGCAAAGACAGTTGTGCACACACCACAAAGTCACAAAGGAAGATAACTGAAGAAAAAGAAGAAGAAAGATTTTCTTGACACACAGCATGCTCACTTTGGACACTTGTTCAAATGTTTAAAATGTTTATTTTAATTGGCCAGTTGAGGCGGCCGGTAAATGTGAAAAAAAAAATCTTTTTGTCCACCAATGAGAAATAGTAAGGACCTGATGGAATACAATCCCTTCCATAATGTAAATCCCTTTTAATTTTCTGAATGTCAACCAGGATTTCAAGAATTAGGTTACCAGGCTTCACTCCTGTACGACCAGCTCCCAATCGGAGTTTGAGAGGAGGGTGGGCTTCATATTCTGGGTAGACCTGAAGCTTACCTTTTGGCAATTTCTTATACGGGCTTGTTCAAGTTTTTGAGATAAAGTTAGTGAGTGTTGAGAAGCGATACTGCATATATTCAACAAAGGATTTTGAAGATGGAGTTTCTCTCACAAGAGGAGAAAAGGCATCAGAGAAGATTTGTGAACATTCTGAAAGAGAACATTACTGTTGGAGTGACTGTAGAGGAGGTAGGGCGATAATGTGAGATGAAGGCAGAGGATGTGCTCTGGAAAACCCCAAAAAGAGCAGACGAAAGATGGAGAAAACGGAGAAGTGGATGATGAAGATGAAGAAGAAAACTGACCTCAGCATTTGTCTGACAGTACTTGACCATTATAATGTACATCTGTACAATCAATTTCAATATGATGAAAGTAAAAGGGAGGTTGTTTTTTTTCTCTTCATTTTGTTTTTACATGCAATTGAACCAAATATTGTTTTCATTTTTTCACTCCATAACAGCAGGTCAACACCTAGAAGATCTTGCACAGTGCATGTGCATTGTGTTTTAGACTAAAAA